TGTAGCGTCTACATTTTCAACGATAATGTACATTCGGTAACGGCATTATTGGACTTAGGCATTCACCCCATATAGCCTAAAGGACTGAAATGCATTTTCAGAAGGAAAATATATTCAATCACCTACCCATGACAAAAACTAGTCAGGTCACCACGTTCTGGCATTACTATACGTTGGAGTAGCTCGCCTCGACGTTTTCTTTTTCTTTGACGTCCAATAATTGCCGCAAAAAAGGGCATGAAGGTGCTTCCTTGCCAATGTCCCTGGGTTTATCGCATCCAGACCCTTCGTATTTTTCCCTTAAGGTTCCGATTGCACCCAAGTGCCATCACCTTCTCCCTTTAACCCTAACCCGAAATAAATTCAAAATATATTACGGAAATTTAATTAGATGGCAGATTAGATCGGTCTGCCTTGCTCTGGTGATGAACGGTGTTGAAACGCAAGTTCAACGAAGAGCTACTCAAAAACATTAACTCCCTGCTTTTCAGGTAGAGCGGGAACCTGTATTAACACGGAAGTCGCCCATTTGCCTATAATGGCATTTGGCGAGCGTTTGATTGGCTGTTCCTTCCCAGTGTTTGAATACGAGTAAGGTTTCAAAATATGCGTCCGGGATCGCCTGGTTGACACTCTTGGTCTTCGCGGCGGCTTCGAGGTCCGCGTCTACCCTTCAAGCATTTAGGGAGATTGGGGAAGTTATTGATGATGGTGAGTTTCTTTGTTTAAGGAATGGTATACTGTTTATTTCATTTTTAGTACGTCGTGATTATTTTTTGTCACGGCTGTTGCCATGGAGGATCGTCAGCACTATGACTGCCTGGCTGTGTGCTTCCTGAGTCGTGGAGAAAAAGTTTCGCTTCACGAATGGGATCGACATTTCGATCCTGAACGGATTAGGGGCGCGTTGCTGATATTTCTCTTACGAACCGTCCTCGTACTGTCGTCCACCCTGACTTCCATATCTCGCGACTTCAGCTTCATTTAAGCGGAGCATCGACGGCGAGCGGCGTCATCTTCCGCATGACGCCGTGACGCCGGTTTCCCGACTCCCGAAGATTCAGCTTTTTCCCTACGTGCGGGTCGATCCTGTTACACTGCTCAAACGCGCAATCGTCCAGACCCCTTTGGCGATATTTTGGGAGAGCGGAAATGATCATTTATTAGGGTAAATCACGTAGAAAAGGAGGCACTTGGCCCAAGAGACCTCTCGAACTTCATCGCCTGTAACACGCGAAATGGACTCGTCCTTGAAGCATCCCTACATCCGGTTTTTCTCCCAGTTTTTGCCAGGTATTTCGCTCCGCAGCCACATTCACCGACGGCACTGATGCAACTAGAGAGTCTAAATTTAACAAGACCCGGTTCTCATGAAAGAAGTGAACAACCCAATTACCATCGAAGCTCCTCGTCTCCTATTAGGAAAAACCTTCTCAAGGTAGGAATCCGACTCCCTTTGGATTCCTCTTCGGGAAAGAACGAGCACACTTTCAACGGACTTTCCTTCCAGTTTCGTATGGCAATGTTGAAACGGCATCCTCCGTTCACAACGGGTCGTGTCGCGCTGCTCCAACGCGCAATCGTCCCGACCTCCTTGGCCGGATCTGAAAGATTCTGCCATCCTGCCAAAGAAAAGAGCGGAAATTCTCCTTTCTTCGGCATTCGCGAAGGAGATACGTGGTCCTTGAGACCAATAAAACTTCAACACCCATAACAAGTGGACTCGGCGCTGAAGCACCCTTAAAACATGGGAAATGAGTAAATCGAATGTAACCATTTTCGGCATGTCTCAATGTGCTCAGTTCAAAGTTGCCGAGTGTTCTTTCTTGGAAACAACGCTTCATGCGCTTGAATCAACTTTTTCTTTCTTTTAGGCATCCTGCTTCGCAAGCGTATTTATATTTCCTCATCGTATATTTATCTTCCAAGAATCCTGCTAAGATGCCAACAAGGATGTTGACAAACCACCTCGGCTCTATATAAGGCCTGGATCATCCCGTGCCTCACATACATCGACCGCGTCCACCGCCGTCCACTGCTGCTATCTTCAACGGCTCACAGAGAACAGGTTCGAATGTCTCTCTCCTTCCTATGCTGGAACTATTTTTAAAGCGTGTTTCTCTTCTCTTCATCGTGGATGAAGGATTCAATATATATTGATATTTATTCCTCTACTTCTTCCAATAAAATCGCTTTGTCTCGCGGAACTTTTTATTCTCATCCCGCCAACCCAGTCGAAAACAATTTGTTAAATTAAAGTTGAGCCATCGAAGGGGAAGTCGGCGGAAGGTCGGGCAATAGTCGGGCCGACCGCGTATTGATGCCCTATGGCCTCCCGTGGGGTACCTTCATATAATGGGTACCCAGCAACTGAGAAATACTGACGTGTTACTTGCACGAGACGTTTCGATGGAGAAAAATATTAACATTCTTTTCATGAACGAGACGTTTCTTGCACGAGACGTTTATGTAATGCATGTTTTTCACATGAATTCGTCAATTCATGGGTGTCACAGTCGCAGTCCATACATGGCTGTGAGATGATCAGCGAAGGTTGGACCGTAGGTCGGCCGACCCTGACTTGACCAACCGTAACCAAAAAGAACCACAACCTATAAGATAACGAAGACCTGCTTATGGCCATTAGATGGTGTATGGTAGGGCCACATTTGAGCCTGAGTTGGCCCAACTATAAATTTATGACTGTGAAGGAATATGGAGATATTTTCGGTTACAGATCCACAAGAGCATAATTTATTCATCGCCGTCGGCTGGAAGTTGTATGCTCTCTTGAGCATCGTCATATCCTTTTCCGTAATACACCATGGGCTAGTTGCTTTGCGAATTAATTGTGCGCATTTCCATAGATTCTGGCATAGAGAACAGTTGTGGGTACAGTGTGTCGACATCTTTTCGACCGTTCTCTATCCTCTCTTTCTAGCACATCTTCGCTCAAGTATTCAATATTTCTCAACTCTGAGGAGAAGATGGGGATCACACGGAAGGTCACGATGATGTTGGCGACGATGCTGGTCCTCGCTGCTCTATGGGAAAGCGCCACCGCGGACGTCTGCCTCGGACAGGGAGACGCCTGCAATTCTATGTGCAAGAGTATGGCATGCGGCACCGGGAACTGCATGGGCGAACCCGGCAGCCGGACCTGCGTGTGCACGCGGTGTGGGAGGGCTAAGAGGGAAGCGAGACGTGGTTGCAATCCTTGCTGTTTTCCTGGAGGTTGCGGTATCTGCTGCGAATGGCGTTTTTGAGGGAATGCCCACCATTCCGCCTCGAGAATCCTTCTGGAAGTATAAAGAAAACCTGACAAAAGATGCTTCACAGTTTCTTCATTTTTTACGTTCTCATACTCTTCTGACCTCACTCAATGTCGATTAACCAAGACACAACTCTTTAACGTTTCATTGGGACTATTGAACAACATGGATTGCCTGACCAGAGGGTCTATTCGGCCTCTCCATGCTCCACAATATTTGTCAACAGCATGAGGTCGGAAAGCGGCTCACTTCGTCGCAAATTTACCGACCATGTGTCGACCGATTTCTCGAGAACAGTTACTTTCCAAACAATTATAAAGTAGGAATCGAATTTGGACTCCGTCGATGTTGCTTTCTCTGTTACGTGAAGAGCACGTGATAATACGACCAATGAGGAAAACAGAGTCGGCCTCGGATGATCCACTTTTCCCCCTCTATTTCGCCGTGAAGAAGGGTCAAGGGTCACAGTCAAGGCGAACTTAGACTTTTCAGTTTTTCAGTTTCCGCCATTGCGCCACCTCAGCATTTCTTATCGGCGTCTGGATCCCGCCGCAGGATTCCTATTTATTCGCACGGGTTACTAACGATTGAAACGCTGATCAAACTGCATGAAGTCATAGGCTTGGCGAAGAATGGAGCTCCAAAAAATTGCGTAAATATTTTGCCAACCAGTGGAAAATGCGTTTCGTCGGAAGGCCAACACGTAGCCATTGAAAGAAAATTCTTTTCAGGATATCATAACCCCCTTTTTTCCCTGTCAGAGCGCTTGCTAATCCTCTTCAGTCCGGCGTCTGTAAGCACAAGCCGGCTTCGATTCTATTCTTGATGGCACGCCTGAGAGAGAGGGGGAGCGAGAGATGCGAAGAGCAACTCATTAATGCAAGACCGAATGGACATTTTTGTTCGGCGGGTCGTCAGGTTAAAGTCGTTCATTCTCCTGTACATTTGGAACGGCAGACAATGGAGTCAGGTCTCACATGAGTTGCATTTCCTGAATTTTCGGATGATCATCGGTCTGGACGAGGCGTTCATTTTCGCGTTGAACAAGGCTCGGGTGCACAAAAGGGTTACCCCTCGATACCCAACCCACTGCATTCGATTCTCCCCCCCCCCCCGCTCCCCACTCCCAAATGTCCTTGGTCGAACCCCTTCCTATTAACATTCTCCCCCCTCTAAGCAGACGGGAAGACTCTTACGAGATATGGATGCCAAATGAAAAACTTTTTTTTTCGAGCGTTCTTTCGATACGGCGGCGACCAGAAATCCATTCGAGAATGAAGGCATTTCGCTTTTCGGTCTCTTGCCGTCCTCGGAATCACCTGAAAAGGTATGATGCCAATGAAGGTCCGGATCAGGTACCAGTGAGGCGACGTTTTCCATCAAGATGGCAGCAACGTTTCTGAAACGCATCTGCAGCGCGAATGTAATTGATGTATAAAGATTGGCTGCGCATATGTAATTGATGAGTAACGATTTGCAACATCTACGCAATGCTCTTTTGCAACGTCCAAGCCACGTTGACTTTTTGGACATTTACACAAAGAAGCAATATTGCCTCTCGATATTTCCAAAACGATACTTTCGAAACGAAATTTTCCTTTTTTGGGCAGTTCGTGAAGGAAAGGAGATACTTTGTCCATGTAATCGATTCAACTTCAACACCCATAGCAAGTGGACTCGGCGCTGAAGCATCCCTAATCAAAGGGAAATCCGTAAATCGAATGGATGCATTTTCGACATGTCTCTATGTGCTCAGTTCTTGCAAAGTTGCCGAGTGCTCTTTCTCGGAATGCCTCATGCGCTCGATTCAGCTCTTTCTATCTCCTAAGCATGCTGCGCTGCTAGCATATTCATATTTCCTCATCGTATATTTATCTTCCAAGAATCCTGCTAAGATGCCAACAAGGATGTTGACAAAGCACCTCGGTTCCACAGTATATAAGGCCTGGCCCATCCCGTGCCTCACCATGCATCGACCGCGTCCACCAGCGTCCACTGCTGCAATCTTCAACATCTCATAGAGAACAGGTTCGACTTTCTCACTCCTTCCTTCCTATTCAGGAACAACTAAATAACAACTAAAGCGTGTTTCTCTAGTCTGCGTCGTGAATGAAAGATTTCATGGATATTTATTCAACTAATTTTTCCAGTAAATTCGCCTTGGCGCAAGGAAATTTTTCTTCTCATCCCGACAACCCAGTCGGAAATTATTAATATTTGCTGGATTAAGATCGGGCAATAGTCGGGGAATTGGCGGAAGGTCGGGCAATCGTCGGGCTTGCCGAACATTGATACCCCATCCATAAGCGCCCATAAGCGCCCCATCTTCCTAAAGGGTTGCAGCAGTTGCGACCTACTGACAAGACCATGCACGAACAGTTGATGTAATGCATAATGTTTTTCACTTGCCTTCGTCACTTCATGTCGAAGATGACTGACTCGAGTGGAAAACACTATAGACAGGATATAATATTTACTTTGTGCCGACGGGGAAAATTATAATCATTCTTCTCATGACTAATTACTACTCTGCGAAATCGATGTTTCCTAGAATAAGGAGGAAAGGTACCTAATAACTAAAGAACAAATTATATCATCGCGGTAAGAGAACATTGGGAAGAGCAGAGAAGACCATGCGGTCCCGCTAGGATTGATCGACCCCCGGAACGACCCTTGAACCGTGCTTGCCCTGTCAGCCGCTCGCTGTCTCTGGAGAGCCCAGGTGTTTTCAGATATGAGAAGTGCAAGGAATCGATATCGAAGCTATATCGTAGAGGAAAGATTACACTGAGGCCATTTATAACCTAAAGATTTCAAAAGGTAAAGTGATTTACATCTTCTAGTCCCGCGTCTGGAATGACCCCTGGTCATGACAATCGCTTGCCTCAATGGCGAGACGGTCACTCGGGAAGCACCCTTTAGAGAGCACCCTTTAAAAAGCACCCTTTAGAGAGATCAATCGTCGACTTTCCTCCCTCCTCGAGTAGCGACAAAGGGATCTCATCGTTCAGATCAGGCTTGACCGTAGCCCAAATAGCAGTCTAGTCTTGTTGGAAGGACTTCACCTTCCCCTCTCCTTGACCAGAGAGGAGAGGGGAAGTTCTTACTTAAAGTATCCGTTTGTTCATGTTGAAGTTCGCGTTTAAATTTTCCATTTGTGTAACGTATGGCGTAAATTAGGTAGCCAGAGTGGAGAATGTGGCAGGCGGCTCATTTGAATGCGGCAATTATTGCAGTGGCGTTGAGGTGGGTTGGGGGTGTATACATACGTCATAGGTGGCACAGTCGCAGTCCGTACGTGGAAGTGGGATGATCAGCGAAGGAAGCGACAGAAGGTCGGCCCACCATGACTTGACCAACCGAAGCCAACAATAAACCCCCCCTATGAGCAAACGAAGACCTGCGGATGGCCAGTAGATGGTGCATGGTAGGGCCAATTTTGAGTCTTAGTTGGCCCAACTGTAAATTTTTGACTGGGATAGAATATGGAAATATTTTCTGCTTCGGATCCACAAGAGAATAATTTATCCATCGCCGTCGGCTGGAACTTGTATGATCTCTTGAGCATCGTCATACCCATTTCCATAATACACTATGCGCTAGTTGCTTCTCGACCTAATTGTGCACATTTGCAGTGATTCTGGCATAGAGAACAGTTGTGGGTACAGTCTGTCGACGTCTTTTCGACCGTTCTCTATCCTCTCTTTCTAGCTCATCTTCGCTCAAGTATTGAATATTTCTCAACTCTGAGGAGAAGATGGGGAACACACGGAAGGTCACGACGATGTTGGCGACGATGCTGGTCCTCGCTGCTCTGAGGGAAAGCGCCGGCGCGGACGTCTGCGACGGACGGGGAGACGCCTGCACTTCCTCGTGCCAGAGCAGAGGCTGCGGGATCGGGCGCTGCGTGGGCGAGCCCGACGACCGGGTCTGCGAGTGCGGCCGGTGCGGGAAGGTCAAGAGGGAAGCGAGAAGTGGTTAGGAGACGCCTGCACTTCCTCGTGCCAGAGCAGAGGCTGCGGGATCGGGCGCTGCGTGGGCGAGCCCGACGACCGGGTCTGCGAGTGCGGCCGGTGCGGGAAGGTCAAGAGGGAAGCGAGAAGTGGTTGCAGATTATGTTGTAATTGCTGTGGCAGGGAAAACTTTTGCGGTCTCTGCTGTGGGTGGTAAGGGATCACTGACCATTCCTCCTTGAGAGCCATCATCCGAGAAGAAAATGGAATAGAATTTGCCCAGTTTTTCTTAGTTTCTTTCATACTCTAACACTTCACAGATCTCAGCCTACTGCGATTAAGGAAAACACAACCTTGTCTTCCAATCCATGTACACGAGAAAGAGGAAAAGAGACGGGAAAAGAACCCTGCCTGAATTTCAACGCGCGCCAGAAAACATTCTGAAATCCTTCCGCTCACTCGGACACAGTTCCTCCATTTCTACTACATAAAGTCCCAAACTATTTGATGTAAAAATTTGAATTTCCACAAAAATGCAATATGTGCACTTCACGTTGTCAAGTATGACCTAAATTAAACTGGCGATTTAAGTAAGTTAAGAGGTGAGAGACTCTGCCCGGATTTCATCCACACCAATAGACCTCCCATGCTTCGAAATGACACGGACCAAGTCCGGAATGCATATTTTGAAACCTTATTCCTGTTCGAACACTGGGACCGGAACAACCAATGAAACTCCACCATGACATCACGGTGGGGTGCATGGCTACCTCCGTAGCCGCTGCAAGTTCAAGCGAAATATTCACAACGTACTAAATGAACAAGTCACTTCAACATATAACTGAGTTCGAAAAGAATATGGACCTACGGTTTTCTCACCTAACTTGGACAACTCGACGCAGGCCAACCTTCTCCTAACTGCCACCACCTTGACACTAGGTATATGCAAATTAGGAAAGCATTGGTTACGCGATGGCATATGAAACGATGGGAGGATTGGTCCACGTTTCAATTACCTGAGTGGCCAATAGTCATATTTTTTTAAAATGAAGCATCAGGAGGTAGAAGGTTATGCAGGTGAGGAATGTATGTCTTGTTACTGGCTTGTAGCGTCTACATTTTCAACGATAATGTACAT